GCCACATGCACATGCTCAGTTTAGTGTGTATTGCTAGATAATTTTTTTTTCTTGGGAGAGGGAATGTGATCAGCACAGGGCCAATCAGTACTGTCTAAACAGAGGGTCAGGGGTTTCGCATCCTTCTATAACAGAAAGAAAGCTCCTCCAACAAGCTTTAACCAGTGCACTGCTGAAGTCACAAGATTGCTCTAACTCAGCGGTTCTCAACCTGTGGGTCGCGACCCCTTTGGGGGTCGAACAACCCTTTCACAGGGGTCTCCTAAGACCATCAGAAAACACATATTTCCGATGGTCTTAGGAACCGAGACACCGCTCCTCTATCAGTCTCCAGGCGGGTCCGCCCACATGCAGATACGTCTACATTTCCCTGGACGCGATGTGTGCGCGGGATGACATGCCGCCCCTGTCATCTGGCCACATCCCCGGGATCACTCAACAGCTCCGCCTCCTCGCCAGTGATTGGCCGCTGGAACTGTAGCTCAGGAGAGGCACACAGGCAGCCAATCACCGGCGAGGAGGAGGAGCCGAGCAGCAGCACGAAAATCAAAGAAGATTGAGCAAGGGAGCGGCCGGAGAAGGAAGACAGCTGACAGGTAAGTGTCTGTAGCGTGCAGATTGTGCTGCTGCAGCCAGGTATGCTGGCTGTAGATGGGAGAGGGAGGGAGCAAGCCCAGACTGGAGCAGGAGTCAGCAAGGTAAGTATCATTGGTGTCAGTAGGAGGAATAGTGCCCCATCATTGGTGTCACTAATACCAATGATGGGGCACTATTCCTCCCACTGACACCAATGATGGGGCACTATTTCCCCCCCCCCCCCCCCCACTGCTCACCACTGACACCAACGATAGGGAACTATTCCTCCCCCACTGACATCAACGATGGGGCACTATTCCTCCCCCCACAGACACCAACGATGGGGCACTACCCCCCCCCACTGACACCAATGATGGGGCACACATCCCCCCCACACTAGTATCAATGATGGGGCACTATTCCCCCCCCCCCACTGACACCAATGATGGGGCACTATTCCTCCCACACTGACACCAATGATGGGGCACTATTCCTCCCACACTGACACCAATGATGGGGCACTATTCCTCCCACACTGATACCAATGATGGGACACTATTCCTCCCACTGATACCAATGATGGGACACTATTCCTCCCACTGACATCAGTGATGTGACACTATTCCTCCCACTGCAAAATTACAGTTATGAAGTAGCAACGAAAATAATTTTATGGTTGGGGGTCACCACAACATGAGGAACTGTATTAAAGGGTCGCGGCATTAGGAAGGTTGAGAACCACTGCTCTAACTGCTGGTGATAAAATGTATTTAGGAGTTTATATTTACTAAAATAATTGCATTTCCATGTTCTGTGTACTGTGAGAGATCAGATATAGTCAGTGCAGGGTCTGGGTTTAGTAACACTTTAATGCTCAAACACGCCTAAGCGTGTCTAGAAGTTAGACGCATTTAGACAAGCTTAGACATGTTGCAAGTATTTTCTGCTCTTCAGCTCCTCTCCTGAATACGCTTTTGATGTTTTTTTCCAGCCTGTAAACATCTTTGTGTGCATGGACACATATGCTAACACAGAGGTGCTTTTACAGGCAAAACAAAAATGCTAAATATCTGTAAAAGTGGTGTTTTATTAAGACCAAAGTGCATGAGGCCTAAATGAGTAACAAATGTTTAAATGTTAGAAATGTTGTATACATGGACAACGAACAGGTAGTTGTCACAAAAGAAGGGCAACATATAAGCAGTTAATACTAAAGGGCAGCAAATAGGTAGCCGTTAAAAATCGTGTTCAATAAATAGGCAGGCAGGCTTCTAAGGCACAGTGGCTAAATGGTTAGCACTTCCGCCTGGCAGTACTTGGGTCGTTGGTTCGAATCCCAGCCACGGCACCACCTGCCTGGAGTTTGCATGTTCTCCCTGTGTCTGCGCGGGTTTCCTCCGGGTACTCCGGTTTCCTCCCCTACTCCAAAGACATGCTGGTAGGTTAATTGGATCCTGTCTAAATTGGCCCCAATATGTGTAGAAATGTAAGTTTGGGACCTTAGATTGTACACCCCTTGAGGGTTAGGGACTGATGTGAATGTACAATATATATGTACAGCTCTGCGTAAATTGACGGTGCTATATAAGTACCTGAAATAAATAAAATAAATAAAGTTAGGTCAAAAAACATTAAGCTGTTATAATATGCAAGCAACAAGTGAGCAGCCCTTTCAGTATGTAGCGTTACCCCTGCAGGGAATGCTTGTCAATGCTGGTCCCCAGTGGTTGCCCTGACCTTACAAGCCCCCCGACACCTCTGACGCTCTGGGTTCAGACATATTTCAACAGTATAGAATGAAAATGCAAGAGACACAATATTTTAGTAACACCTCTATGTTAAACTTGTTCAAAAGAGTATGCCACAGAAATAATAGGTTTAGGATATACAACTTCAGTTAACACATAAAATCATAACACCAGTAAAACAGAAATAATCAATTAGCAACGTTCAACAGATTATACAGTCATGAGCAGAAAGCTTCAACCATTTAATTGAAACACCAGCAGCAAGGGAGAAGAAAAGGCTTTTCTGCATTGTGTTGACCACCTGCGCCGCAGAATGCAGAGAATTATGTAAACATATACTCTGCTAAGAATCAATATAAGTATCCCAATTTGAATAGCAATGGCCTTGAAAGAGAAGAGGTCCCTTTCAATAGAGATTGTAATTTGAGTCCTGTGATCTTTAATGTTCCTGATATGGTGGTATCCATGGCCTTCTGCTAGCAATGGTGGGGGCTCATAAACATCAGTGAATACTGGTAATTCAATGAAATTAAAGAGACTGTGGTACTGCTCAAAGCAAAGATCTCCTGGTACTGAGGTGTAAAGGTGTCTGCATGCATTGTCTCTAGTTATGACAGAAAGAGGTTGCACATCCTCCCGCTCACCAATCCTATGGACAGCACAGCCTCCTAGCAACAGAGTTCTAGCTCAGACACTTGGCTGGCTGCAGGGATGTGCGGAGTTACAGTCTGATGGCCTGTCAGCACAGCTAGCAGATATGTCTGTGTAAAGACCAGATAATGACACTCCCGATGCAGAGAAGCTGATGCGATCCCGGTGTGGCAATCGGTGTCACTGATATGCAGAGTTCTGCAGCAGTAGGCCAGGAATCTACTCTGGAGGACAATGGCAGTCCCTCTGTGTTCAGCTCTGAATCCAACACCAAGAGAGAAAGTCCCTTGCTGCAGAATATATCTGCTTCCCCAGCATCCTCCTTGTTTGCCTACTCTCTGGTATTTGTAGTTCAATCAGCACTCAGTTTTACAGGATGTATTGGCTCTAGGACTACAGGTCCCAAGATCATCTGCTGTCAGAAAAACTGAATCCACTCTGCTAACAGGAAGTGATGTAGCAGCTCTAGTACTGGGCACTATGCGGAGAAAGGATTAACCATAGCCTCGTCTGTAAATGTCCCAGACTTGTAGCTGGAACCTGGCTACAAATATAATTACAATACAAAGTGTGGGCAGTAAACAGAAAGCCATTACTAAAGAATGGTAAACAAATAGGTAGCCATTAAAAAACTTGAGAAATACATTTGAAATTGTTACTATATGTGGGCAACCAAGATGGTTGTCTCATAGGATGAAAAATGGCAGTCTTCTCTTGGATTAAGTCCTGTGCAGGGTCCTGGAGCACAGAGGCTTTGTAGAGACTTGGGTGGGACGAAGCCTCCATGTTTGCTGACAACCAGTATCCTGATTGTGAGGTGAGCACAGCCCTATTAGTATGGGTACAGACAATAGTTCAGAGTTCCACCCTGGAGACAGGAGAGGGGTCTACTCATGAGTCAAGGTGAGTCAGTGCAGTGCAAACGTTTGCCTGATACAGAGAAGGGCCTGAGGGCAGAGCAGCAGTGCTCCAAGAGAAAACCAAAAGGGGTGCAAGTGTATTTGCTCTGGCAGAAGAATGCTATACAACCCCTGCCCCTTACAGTTGGACATGTTTTTTTTTTCCTTAACTGGTGACATTTATTTGTGCTGCACTTCCTTATTTCTTACCTAGGTGAGAATTATGTTTTCTTACTCCTGGTCCCCTGCACATGTGCAGATGTGTCACAGAGCTTTGAACAAGCCTTGCAGCACATCTGTGCACGTGCAGGTTTTCTCATCCATCTTTGCATGCGTGGGGTTTTCAGCACAAAGATGCCTATTGGGGAAGCCGGGAGACTTTGCTGTCTTTGCACATGCACCAGAAATCACCTGCATGTGTGTATATGTGATCAATGATACTGCCAGGGCTTCAGCAAATCTGCACACATGTTATAATGAATATACTGGCCTGGCAGCAAGTGGCTATACCAGCATCATGGCTGAAGCTGTCACTAATCCTGGTATATTTTTTAACCACTTTACATCCACCCACAGCCTATAAACGGTGGACCGGAAGCAGCACCAATGCAGGTTAACGTACCTGTACATCAGCCCACATTGGAGGCTCCTGCGTGGCTTACAGAGCGTGCACCTTGAAACCCTGTGATCAGTGTGTCGCCTGGACACAGCCGTTCACATTACTGCTCTGTCTGGGTGATCACATGGTCTTGCAGAATGTGATTGATGTGTCCAATCACAGCAATCACATAGTAAACAATGCAAACTGAAAGTAAGCATCGGTTCTCTCTTCTCTTGCTGTGAGAACAAAGACAACCATTACTGCAGCCTGAGTGTACAGCAGCCTGTCACAGTGCATGTACACTCACAGACTGCAGTGCCAGCCTACTCCAGTGTCCCTGCTCACTGTCCCCAGTGTAGTACTAATAAAGAGTGCAGCCAGCCCGTCACCTGTCCCAGTGTCACCAGTGCTCACAGTTATACCATCATATACCATACCAGCATCCCGATCATCGCCACACCCCATACCAGAGTCCTGATCATTGCCATACGCAGTACCAGTGCCCTGATCACCGCCATACACCGTACCAGCACCCTGATCACCGTCACACCCCATACCAGTGCCCTGATCACCAGCATAGCACATACTAGTGTCCTTATCACGGCCATACCCCATACCAGCACCCTGATCAACGGCATACCCCATACCAGCACCCTGATCAACGGCATACCCCATACCAGCACCTTGATCACCATCATATGCCATACCAGCATTCTGATCACCGCCATATGCCATACCAGCGCCCTGATCGCCGCCATACACCATACTAGCATTCTGATCACCACCATATCCCATACCAGCATTCTGATCACCGCCATATGCCATACCAGCGCCCTGATCCCCGCCATACACCATACTAGCGCCCTGATCCCTGCCACATGCCATAACAATGTCCTGATCACCGCCATACCCCATACCAGCATCCTGATCACTGCCATATGCCATACCAGCAACCTGATCACTGCCATACAACATACCAGCACCTCGATCACCGTCACACCCCATACCAATGCCCTCATCACCAGCATACCAGCACCCTGCTCACCGCCATAGCACATACTAGTGTCCTGATCACGGCCATACCCCATACCAGTACCTTGATCAACACCATACCAGCACCCTGATCAATGGCATACCCCATACCAGCACCCTGATCACCATCATATGCCATACCAGCACCCTGATCACCGTCATACACATATACACACACACACACATATATACACACACACACCATATATGTCATAGTTTGCATAATATAATATATAAATAATATACACTGTTTTGGGTTATTTTTACCCAAAAATTTAGCAGAATACATTTGACCTAAATATATGAGGAAAGGTTATTTATTAGCAAATACGAAAAAAATTGTGTTTCTTTTTTCAAAATTTTTATTTCCTTTTTCGTTCATATAGCAAAAAAATAAAAAAAACAAGCGGTGATTAAATACCGCCAAAAGAAAGCTATATCTGTCTCAAAAAATGATAAAAATGTAATTTGGGTACAGTGTTGCATGCCTGAGTAATTGCCGAAGTGTGACAGAGCTGAAAATTGGCCTGGACTTGAAAGGGGTGAAAGTGTCCGGACCTGAGGTGGTTAAAGCCATTGATCGGCTTTTCTGTAAAAGTGATGTGGGTTTACTTTTTACAGTGCTTGAAAGCCCCATTTTGCCAGGACTGTGGTAAGTGTTTGGGCTGGCTGCCCACAAAGAAGATGTAAAAACATCTGTTCCCCCATCACCTCTGTGACGAATGAAGCAAGAAGCAATGTAAGTCTGACATGCACATGTAAACATGATTGTACCACGAAAGGTATTGCCACAAATGCCAAAGTGTGAGCAATAATTCTAGCACCATAGATCATGCTTAACTATAAACTGATACCCTGTCAAGGATTTTAAAGCATCGCCTATGGGCCATTCTAGGTACCAATGTTTGTAGTCATTTCACAGGGGTGCACAGTTTTAAATCTTGACATGTTTTGTATCTATTTACTCAACACAAAATCATATTTTACCAAAAAACTGGATATTATTTGTTTGTGTGCACTAAGCATGTAAGTGTATTCTTTCCTGAAAATTTATGTATGAAAAACAGCCGCTAAAATGTAATGTGACATAAGAAATTGCAACCATTTTATTCTCCAGGGTCTCTGCTTTCAAACAATATATAATGTTGGGGGGTTATCATTAATGTTCTATGCAGATTGTGACATGTATGTGGAAAATTAAAAAAATAGCCTTGGCAGGCAAGCATGTGAGCAGTTAGCTAGTGTGCCACTAGATGGCTCTGTCCTAGAATAGAATGGTTATAGGTAATTATGTAAGTAGGTGTTAGGTTCTCTTTTAGACTGAGCCTTCCTGTAGTGATACCTTGGGTGTAGTCAGTGCCCATATAAATATCAGGATGGGAGGAGCCAAGTTCGGTCAGGGCATGGGAGGCAAACACCCCACACCTATGCAGATGTAGTCAACACAGCCAAGGCCCTACATAGGGCAGACATCCCAGGGTGGGATAGTCCAATACCTAGGAGAGCAGGCTGCCTTTAGCTCTACTTTAAGTTGAACACTTTCACCCTATACCCCAGGTCCCCCTGTACTTACTACCTGTTGATGATGAGCTATCAGATCCCAGTCAATGTAGGGGTCCAGGGATTTTAGAATCCCCACTCTTCAATCTCTAGGTATTTTGGGATGGCTCAGAGTGCTTCTGATTGGTCATCTCTGGACTGCTACAATGGCTGCGAGGAAACTGACAGTGCATCACGCACAGGAGGTAAGTACAGAGGGGACTGGTGGAGAAGGTGTAGGGTGTTGGCTCACCTTTTATTTTTTTCTGAAAAGGTGAACTAACACTTTAGAAGGATAATTAATTGTTTGCATATGCCAATGGCTCTGCATGGTGAAAGAATACAACTGTCATAAGACCAGGGGTCTTATACACTGTCAGACCTCTTGGAAATCTGGCTTTTTTTTTCACCACCCGATAACTTATACTGCTATATTTGAAGAACTTCTATGGAAATAAATCTATAAAGTTCAAAGCTGAACTAGCAGAGTAGTCTGAACTAATCAGATTCATCATTGTGCCTTCATACATATTCAGCGGAGAAGGAGATCAGTGAGAGAAGTACGAATCCTGCTTTCTAATATGGGCTTTTGGAGGAGAAATGATACATTTTTATTGCATATTTTATGTGTTTATTACATATGTAAAACTAATCAAAACACAATCTGCCCACTGAAAAGTTTGAAAAAATATTTTCTAATGTTTCTATAATGAGGAAGCAGGAGTAGTGCTTGTACATACAAACTTGTATGTGTATATTTTATAAGAAAAAAAAAAAATGTATATATATATATACACATACACACGTATATATTTAGATAACTGACAGGTGCTTTCCCCTACACATTTCATTACATCAGGATGGCAAGCTGGAGAAGATCATTTGTTTCGTGATCCCCTCTGCTGTGTATGAAGCCAGAAGCGCTCGGCTATGAACATTTCTTCCTTTATGCAGGTCATAGACGGGTCGAACATCGGCCAATTTTTCGAATGATAAACAAAAAATCAGTCGTTCGTTCAGCCGATGTTACCACCAACGATTAAAAAAAATCGGCCGACTAAATCATAAAGTTCACCCCATAACTTCTGTCCCTTGCAGGTCACAGCTCATGCGCAGATTTTTTATCGTTAAAACGATCGGCCAATTTGGCCATCATTGCCGAGAAAACTGGACGGTTGTCCAAATCGGCCACAAATTTTCCAATATGACCGATAATCTCAAAGTGCAAAAAACCCGAAAACCGGCCGACCAATAAACCCACTAACAGTGCGAAAATCGGCCGATTTTCGAACCATCTATGGCCAACATTAGAGCTGTCATTCCCTGGCTGCTGTGGCCAGGGAAGCAGCTAATTAAGCAGGATATGTGCTTGATTAGCTTCAGTGGAGGGTAGGAGAGATCTTGGGGGTCTAATAGACTCCCATTGTCTCCATAAAGAGGAAATGTCACCTGCCCAATTCTACCAAATTTGGTTTGTTAACCTCCTTGTAATAGAAATAAAGTTAACTATTAAAAATGAAATTATAATAAAATTAATAAAAATTACAACATTTAAAAGCACCCACCTCATACTGCACACACCCATAGAAGCAAACGCATGCATAGAGCACACACATGTCTGTAAACAGCATTTGTGCCACACATGTATAAAATTGCTGCAAACAGAGTTAAAGCAATAATTTTTGGTTCTTCATTTATGGGTTATGCAGAGCGCCATCCAAAAGGGGAAGTTCAGCTTTAAGGCCTCGTCTCCCTCTCCCAGTTAAGGATTGGCACCTTTGGGGAGTGGGTACCCGATTTTGACAGGTGCCTGCTCCCACTTCCACTGCAATGGCCCCCCCCCCCCCCCCCTGCAGTCTTCTGGGACACTTGACAGATCCCAGAGGACTGCGGGACCATTCACAATGGTTAAGATTCCAGCAATGGGAACACAGGATGGCCAGTGAACCCGGCTGCAGTGAGGACACCGCTGGATTCTAGGATAGGTAGTTTTTGTAGCTGCTGACTTTTATTTTTTTCACCAGTGGTATATTTATGGTTAGGAAGGATGGTGAATATATAAAGTTGCACTGCACTTTTGTATGAGGAATACATAATCAAAGACAGACTGCTTTTTTTGCATTTGCTCTTATACAAATCGATCACAAATCTCAACAAGTATGGCCTTCATTAAATAAATATGAGCTATGCAATCAACAAAGTCAATCAATTCACAAACAGAAACATTTTTACATAGTCAAAAGAGATACAAGCATCTAAAGCAAAGAGAGAGAGACAAGGTAGAGGCGCAGTGATAGTAACAGTGTCGTATTCAAATCATAAATACATAATTATGTATCCACAGATGATAAACAATTCATGCGGCATGTAAATAGCTAGACAAACAGACACACTGCTTCCTGGCAAACAGCGTGTAAATAAATAGCAAACGGTTTATGGCAACAGATGACTAAAAAAAAGGCACTAAATGCCGACGCAAGCGCTGTCAAGAAAATATACCTGCCTCAGTAATAGGTGAAACAAGCTTTGTAAATATAAAAGGAAACCTGCGAGGATAATTATACAGAAGCAACTAAGAAGAGGAAAATGGATGCGCTGTAATGTGTATTTCTAGCCCATTATTATGTGCATTTCTTTTTTTTAGCTTTTGATAGAGCAGAGAATCATTAGAGCATCTGTCTGCCAAGTTCAAATTGCTGCGTGTCCCCTCTGGGGAGATTCATCTTCTTCGTTTGTCCTGGTGACACTAAGAGCAAACTGGGTCCCTGCTGAAACTAGATAGGTATTTAACCTCTTCCTACTGGCATGACACATATATGTGGTGGCAGGAAAGGTGGGTATAGGCTTGCAGCCTTCACACATATGCATTCTTCGGCCTTCCAGCTTCTGTGCTGCAAACACTCTCAGGACATGTTCCTAGCACACAGATTGTGCTGCTACCAGACACTGTTTGCCATCAGGGCAGGCACCCGATCATGTGATGACCAATTCTGCCAACAGTGACCATGCTGCTTCTGGTCACTGTTCACCATTAGGACAGGCCAATGACAGCAATCACATGATCGGGAAGCCACCTCCGCCTTCCATTGTTAACATACACTCAAAGAGCCACCGAGGGGGTGGCGAAAAAAGGTTAAAGCCTAACTCCAGATACTTTTGATTTTTTTTTTTTTTTTTTTAGAATAGGCTTGGGGGAAATTTAAGGACACCCTGTCACCTTTCCCATTCAAGGTGTACAGTGGAGGTCAGCAGGAAAAACTATTGAGCGCAGTGGGGTGTTGGCA